TGTATCAACGAGGAAGAGTTATGTGGTGTTACTGTAGCCTGTATCAACGAGGAAGAGTTATGTAGTGTTACTGTAGCCTGTATATACAAGCAAAACAATTCTATAGATCCGGAGTCAATAAACTGTTTCTATTTACAATCCAGTTCCTCAGCCAAGGGCATTAGAACAGTCCCATTGTCTACCTCACTCTGAACATAAGAGGTGGCGGGAGAACACCCACCCACCTCTATGTCACTGACAGCTGATAAACAAACCTCATCTATAACAATTGACGATAATCCCCTGACACACGTCCCCGGGTACATCTTCTCCCTTCTACAGATTCAGGATGTGATGTTTTAGCTGCCACGATTAAGATAAGATTGAGTAAAATAATCACTTAGTGTGTAGATGAAAAACAGTAATGGGAAGGGATTAATGGATGAGGGAAATACAGTATATACTAAAGGCTCTGTTGTTGTCAAGTGGTGGTGGTGTCAGGGATTTTGTAAGATGGTATTCGCTGCTCTTTCTCTCTCTCTCTCTCTCTCTCTCTCTCTCTCTCTCTCTCTCTCCTGACTAAGATGAAGACTGAATAACTTTTAATAATAATGTATTGGTGGTCATCCAGGATCCAATGGGCCATACAATGAATAATATAACAAAAGAAAGGCGAGATGCGAAGGTGGTGGCCATTCTGAGTGGTGGTGCTGTCGAGGAACGAGTCTTTATTATGCATGTGAGGTGAGGTAGCCAGTGAGCCTCTCTATATACCCCATGACCCTTATTATCCTCAGTACAGTATCTCACTGTATGTCTTCAATGCCTTGTGTTTAGCAGACATAGTCGACCCCTGTGACGTATTGTGGGGCTCTCCTAACATTCTTGCTTCCTCCAACACCATCCTCCTTCTCCAAGACCCTACTCCTCCAAGACCCTCCTCCTCCTCCAACACCCACCAACTCTCCTTTAGTCCCAAATTAGAATTCTCTTCTGTTGCCTCCAGCTATTACCTCCTCTGCTTCCCTCTCTCTCCATCACCTCAGCAACGTCCATCCTTTTTCAAATTCAAATATCTTTACTCCTAGAATGTGGCCTGACTACTCCTCCCTCTAAGCTCCTCCTTGACTCCCTCCCTCCCTCAGCTATCACTTGGCCTGATCAGTGATGGTGCACCCAGCAGCCGCCTACAACCATCACACTGTTGACCTCACCATCACTCATTCATATCAGCAAGTTGTGCCTCCTATTCCTGCCTCTTGTCTGTGTTGCAAGGGAATGTAGGATGTTTGGACCACGAGACGTTTGGTTGGGCAACGTAACGTAACCAAACGTAACCTAACCTAACCTAACCTAACCAAACCAAACTTAATCTAACCAAAACACAAACGTCCGCTCACCATTGCAAGTTGATGATGTCTCCTGTACCTCATTTATCACAGTGACAGATGCAAGTGGTAGCAACAGTGAAGAGTTTTTGAATTAACAACCTCGTTACATCAAGTCAGATCACCAATACATAAAACAGAATTAACATTACAGTATTTCTAAGGCATACAAATCTATACATACAGAGAATACAAAATATACAACAGTTCAATACAATATCTCTGAAAATACTGCATTGATTATATAACTAAGGCAAGGAGAATAAATGAAATAACATGTGTAACTATCGGGTATGTCCTCCCCATTCTCTCCTCATCCCCTTCCTCTCTCTTAATCTTCGTCCCCCTCCCCTCCTCGTCCCCTACCCCTATCCTCCTCCTCCCCTCCCCGTCCCCCTCCCCTCCTCCTCGTCCTTTTATCCTTAAATGACGCGATATAATAAAAATCCATTTGCAAGGATTAGTGAGGATTAATACAGGTAGGATTTATTTACTAATGAATGATTGTGGTGGTGGTGGTAGCGGTGGTTGTAAGCGTGTGGTGGTAGTGGTGGTAGTGTTGATAATGGTCGTAAGAGTAAAGAGGTGATGAATACAGTACTAGGAGGACTGACCACTAGGAGGACTGGACCACTAGGGAGGACTGACCACTAGAGGACTGACCACCAGGAAGACTGACCACTAGGAAGACTGACCACTAGGAAGACTGACCTGGCCACTAGGAAGACTGACCATAGGAAGACTGGACTACTAGGAGGACTGACCATAGGAGACCACTAGGAAGACTGGCCACTAGGAAGACTGACCACTAGGAAGACTGACCAGGAAGACTGACCACTAGGAAGACTGACTACTAAAGGACCTACTAAGAAGACTGACCACTAGGAAGACTGACCACTAGGAGGACTGACCACTAGGAAGACTGACCACCAGGAAGACTGACTAGACTGACCACTAGGAAGACTGACCACTAGGAAGACTGGACCACTAGAAGACTGACCACTAGGAGGACCACCAGGAAGACGACCACTAAGAAGACTGACCACAGGAAGACTGACCACTAGGAGGACTGACCACCAGGAAGACTGACCACTAGGAAGACTGGACCACTAAGAAGACTGACCACTAGGAGGACTGACCACCAGGAAGACTGACCACTAGGAAGACTGGACCACTAGGAGGACTGACCATAGGAAGACTGGACCACCAGGAAGACTGGCCACTAGGAAGACTGACCACTAGGAAGACTGACCACTAGGAAGAGGACCACTGGGAAGACTGACCACCAGGAAGACTGGCCACTAGGAAGGCTGGCCAACCAGGAAGACTGACCAGGAAGACTGGAAGACTGACCACTAGAAGACTGGCCACAGGAAGGCTGCCACCAGGAAGACTGAGGGAAGGAAGACTGGCCATAGGAAGACTGGACCACTAGGAAGACTGACCATAGGAAGACTGACCCAGGAAGACGTGAGGGTTCTCTATCATACAGACGGACAGGAGGGGTGAGGGGGGGGCCAGTGCATTATATGATGTATATTACCTGTCAGGAGATATAATAGATCACTATGTTGCGCTGGGGTAAGTGTGTAATCCTCCCTCCCTCCCTCGTTCTTCTCCCTTCCTAGTTCTCTCCTCCCTTCTTGTCCCTCTCTCCTCTCTCCTCCCTATCTACATTTTTTCCTCCTCCTCTCTTCCTCGTTCCTCACTTCCAACATTCTATCTTCCTCCTCTCTCCCTGTCCTTCCTCCTCCATCTCCTCCCACCAACTTTAATCCCACAACTCCTCCCATCCCTCCCTGTCCAAGACCGGTCCCTCCCTACCTCCCCCCTCCTCCCCCTCCCTCCCCCCCTCTACCTCCATACCATCCCTCACCTGCAACATACCTGGGCAACAGCCTCATCAATACACCTGTCCTACTTCATCAACACAACTCGGGCACTCAGGTGAACGCAGCCACCAACCTGATCTCGTCTTGTGAGTGGCTGGAGCCCATCAGCCAATCACCTGTCTTCATCACCAAAATATCATTAACCTGACTGTCCAGGTAAGTTAAAAAGCATTAAGAGGACGAGTTGTTGCTGAATATGTCTCACCTGGCTGGTATGTATACGTACTTGGCATGTATACTTAGCTGGTATACATACCATACATACATACACACACAAACACCTACATACACACACACACACACACACACACATATATATATATATACACCCACAAACACCCACATACATACACACACAAACACCCACATACATACACACACAAACACCCACATACATACACACACAAAAGGCAGAATCGATGACATGTGTTTCAACCTTGACCAAACTATTAATAAAACTCTACCTGTTGCGGTGACGAGGTTGTCTGTGTGTAGTGACAGCTGAACATCTCTCTCTCTCTCTCTCTCTCTCTCTCTCTCATAGTCTGTGAGAACTAAACATGTGTCAAGAGGAAACACTTCCCTTGGTCACGACTATTGGACGGGTAGACAGACAGTAGTTAGATAATGTTCGGAGGGTTGTATGTGTGTGTGTGTGTATGTGTGTGTGTGTGTGTATGTATGTGTGTACGTGTGTGTATGTGTGTACGTGTGTGTATGTGTGTGTACGTGTGTGTATGTGTGTACGTGTGTATATGTGTGTACGTGTGTGTATGTGTGTACGTGTGTGTATGTGTGTACGTGTGTGTATGTGTGTACGTGTGTGTATGTGTGTACGTGTGTGTATGTGTGTGTGCGTGAGAGGTAGAAGGACGTGACTGCAGGTACTAATATAAGTGTAGTGTGTATCTTGCATTACCACAGTCCCTTAATGTAAACATCAAAAAACATTTACCCTCGTGTCAACACCTGTGGCCCGTAGCTCAGGTATTCTCATTAACTCCCAAGCACCTGGTGGACAATGCAGGGTATAATATCCAACACACTCATCACCTGTCACACAAGTTAGAGGATTAGTCATTTTAACCTAACCTAACCCCGACAAAAAAAAACCCTTGTATTTTGATGAAGTTACGTGAAAGTCGAAAGACCGATTAAAAAAAAACACATTTAATTAAACATATAAAAAGGTGCAATGAATGACACACACATGTTGATTACTTCACTACCTGCCTTTGAGAAGTAATTGCTGGCATATCATAAACGAAACGAGAATCAAATTACGTTGCGTTTAGTCTCTTTTTTTAATTTAGTGATTCATTCCTTGAACAACGAGGAATAGACACTGTACAATTTCATTCATAATTCCCTGAACACTTGGTAATATCAGGCATCTATTGGTGGGTCATATATATGGTTTATAATGCTGCCTTTCATCACATATCAGTATCACAACAAGGAAACAATCCCAAACATTACTTAATATAAAAAAAAAACCCTTCCTCCCTTCAGCTAATGGTAGTCAACTACTTAAATGCCTCATATACTACCAAGTGTCCAAGGTATTTTGTCCACAACTGTACAACCATCATTAATATTTAAAATTTGCTCAACAAATTATACCTCTACTAATCCCATCAACAAACACTTGGAAAAACACGAAAAATAATAAAACATTTTGATCATGACAACAAACTATTAACACTTGGAAAAAACATCTAAAAAAAAAAGATTGTCTTACCTTTTGAGCAGAAGACCACGACAGCTGGGCGTTGTGTTGTTGAATATTCCTCTATTTACATGGCAGTGTCCGCGAGGCTGCCACAAGACACCGTTTATATACGTCAACTGAAGCGTATGGCACGATCTTAGGTAGGACAAGCATTGGTTACGTTAATATGTCATGTCTAGGTAAGATAATACTGCTTTGTGCGACGATAGCACAAACACTGGGTAGGTCAAGGTACGATAACAATAGGTCAAGTACGATAACACTGCTCTAGACGATAGTATCAGCACTGGGTAGGTCAAAGTGTCTAGATACGGTAACTCTGCTCTCACGTACGATCCAGCCAATTTTAATACAGGTACCGAGTAGAGTTATATAAGACCCATGAATATTTTAGCTCACAGGTGTGAAGTTTTCGTCCACAAGCTACGTCAGTAACATACGAGAGACACTACCACACCATAACACAACACGTACCTTAGTCATCTGGTCCCGCATAGTGTATTATTTCCGTGATTTTATGGGATATATATTATTTAATAACTTTTCACTGTTTTGATGTTTTCCAAGAGAGAGAAAACACCGCATCTAGTGTTTATTTCAGATGTAAATATTTAATGTTCGTTCAGATAATTAAATCATGTTTTTTTCTGGATGTTTGGATATAGTTTATCACTTTGTATCACATTAGTGAGAAAAACTTCCTTTTTTTTTGTCTTAGGAGGATCTAGCCCTCAACAGGTGTACAGGAGACAGCACCTTACTCCTGGAGACGAGAACGACATCTCCCTTCATCCTCCTTCCTGCTAGCTTGAACGCCTCTGTCACGTCAGGAGAACAAGAGGTCTCCAGGAGGACACACACACACCAGGTCCTCTGTGGATGCGACGAGACAAGGTGTTAGTTCAGAGTCAATAACATTAAGTAGTGATACATATAACAGCTTAACCAACGAGGCGAAACATGTCAAACAGCAGACGATTTTATTCAGCTCAGAGGAGGCCCCGTACACAAGGGGTTAGTGGGGGCCCCGTACACAAGGGGTCAGTAGGAGGGCCCCGTACACAAGGGGTTAGTGGGGGCCCCGTACACAAGGGGTCAGTAGGAGGGCCCCGTACACAAGGAGTTAGCAGAGGGATCCGTAAACAAGGCCCCGTACACAAGAAGTTAATTGACATCTCTGTTAATAGTAAACACAGCCTCTCAAGGGACGGAACGCACCGTATAATTAGTTCCCCATCAGGCGGTGCGCCCCCCCCCCCCCTATTACCTCACTAGTTCCCCATAGGGCAACTCCCTCCCATTACCACGCTGTCAAGTAACAATGGTACCATCAGTTACCCATGTAAGGAACAATGTAGTATTAGATGAGTTATGGTATCAATAAGGAACAATCGTTTATACTCTGTCCCTATAACGAGAGCTTTATAATAGGAACGTTTTTTAATATATTGGGAGTGTTTTGGGTATAATCAGAACGTTTTTACTATAATCGGAGCGTTTTTAGTATAATCGGAGCTGAACTGGCCCTTTAACCGTTGATTCTTGAGGGGTTAATGGGCTGGGACATGTAAAAGTATATAGAGTGTTTAGTAGCGAAAACCCAACTGTCTTTTCTTCAATTATTAAGAAAATAAGTTCCAAGTGTATATCACCGTAACTTATTCACTGTAGCTATGAGTGTTAAATGAGGATGGAGGCTGTGATAAATACGTCCTGCTGGGGTGAAAGGTTGAGTGAGGGTGCCTAGGAACCCATCGAGGGAGAACGGAAATATATCCGACGTCCTCCCTCGAGGGAAAACCGAACCATCCACGATGGCTCTCAATAACGTCTTCCTTTAGTGACCGATATCAAACTCTTGACGGCAATAGGTGGCCAGAGAGCCGGCTACTTAATGCTTAACTCAGCACTAAGCGACGCGACTTCCCGTGGGCACACCTTATCACGTGCTCTGAACATGCTACCTCATAGCTAGTGGAAAGTTACAGAGGGTGATAGAGTATATAAGTCTAATGTAATTAACCCATTTATATAAATACGTGGGCCTATAAGACAGGGACTAATACAGAGCGTTTTTGATATTATCGGAGAATTTTTTGTTATTATGGGAACGTTTTTGGTATAATCGTAGTGTTATTTTACTATAATCGGAACGATTTTATTATAATTGAAGCGCTTTAAGGTATAACCAGAACGTTTTTATTATAACCGGAACGTTTGAGTAAAATTGGAACTCTTTTGGTATAATCTGCATACATATCGTAATTCTGCGACCTAATTTTCATAACACTCTAACTTAATTCTTGTTAAAAAATACTAATGTCATCACAACTCTCTCAGTATTATCTAGTACAGGTGTTCACAGGTAAGTTAAAATATTCCGGTAAATAGAGATACCTGGGAGGTGTGTTAATGAGGGGACGTCACCTGTGTTCACGTTACGCTGGGACGTCACCTGTGTTCACGTTACGCTACAGCTTAAAGGTTTCACTAGTAGTTTAAGCAGGTGAAATCATACGGTTTTTTATTTATTTATTCATGAAAAAATATTGATAGAAATAAGATTCGAGTTATGATAGAAATTTGTGGCAATTAAAAAAATTTATTATTATTATTATTATTATTATTATTATTGTTGTTGTTACTGTTCTTTATCTACTTGTTACTTGATGTGATCCCGTGTGTGTGACTAAGGAGCGGGATGTTAATGAAATCTTGTCACGCTAATGATAAGTCTTTCAACTTTCAGGTGTAGAAATATTTCGGTATTTGGGGAGGAACATGTGTGTTCTGTATATGAGGCGTCCGGGGCCAGAAGGGCGACCGGACCAAATGTTACTTTTGAGATAATTGACTTTAAAGTTGATCGATCTATACCACCCTCTGTGTGTACGAAAATTTGTGCATATTGGGTATCATTAGATTTGTATGATGAAGGAGAATAGGTTTCTGAAATAAATTAATGGTATGATCCCCCAATTTTTTTCCAAATTTGTTGGAAAAACCCCAAAATTTTAAAATGCAAAAAATATATGAATATTGCTATGTTATTGCATGCAAATGAAAATAGCAAATGTTATGAACACACTGTTGCAAAAAACCTGGTCATTAATCAATTTCATGATTTTTGGGAACATTTTAAAATTTTGGAAAAACCAAAAATCGAACAAAAAATTGTCATACAGCACCCAATTTTTTTTTTTACTTTTAATATACAAAATGAAACTTCAAGAAATAATGAACATATTAATACCTGAATCATGGTTTTAAATCATATTTCTGATTTTTGGCAAATTAAAGAAAAAATATCTTAACTCAAGTATGTTAAAAAGTTTTACACCACGAGGGTCTGGACGGCTGTACTCTGGTGGAGTCTGGAAAAATCACATTTTCTATGAAATGGTCGGTTCACCCTTCTGGCCCCGGACGCCTCATATGTCCAGAACACACACACACACACGACCTTCCAGACGCACTCATCACACTCATCCGATGTTTATAAACCGAACAACTCACTTGTGTCTTGTGGCCACCAGCAGCTCTCATAAGTCTACACTCTAACACACGGATACAGTTTCGCTTCCACAAATGGTACACAAAGTCTCAAGAGGCCCCACAGTGGTACAGTTTAAACCCTTCAGATGAGACAATAATTCACCTAACTTAACCTAACCTATCCTAAGTGACCCAGCCCTGACACACACACACACCCCCTGACCTTGACCTAAGTTTACCCAGCCCTGACTCACACACACACACACACACACACACACACACACACCTTACCGCTTGTTTGTGTGTCTCAAACAATAATACAATCGATTTTCTCTTCAAACTCTACTGTAGACGAGGACGGTAATGCACTTAAGGATTTTATTCTGGTTAAAGACAGACGATTTTATTCAGGTGGGAATAAACCTCGACCACTCAAAGAATTACGACACCGGACCATTACTGTACGTGTGCTTTTTAGTGAATGGAATTATATAACAGAGCTACATAATGCCCTAGTAGGTAAACTAATCTATTGGAATTTGACTCACGGGGGATAAACCTACGACACTTTGATGAATACAAGGATAACATCACCTATTTACTCAATACACGAGTTCTTCATCGTTTCCAAGTTACGAAAGAAAAGAATCCAAACAGTCTCCCCTTCCCTGACCCGTCTCCCTATTCAAGACATCTTAACCACCATCACTTCAACCCAACACTAAGTTTATTTTATCTCTCGTCTAAATCCATAGACAGCAACTGTGGTCCAGAGGTACTTGGATGGATTGGGGGATGGTTGGGTGGTTGGGTGGTTGGGTAGTTGGATGGTTGGATGGTTGGGTAGTTGGATGGTTGAGTGGTTGGATGGTTGGGTGGTTGGGTGGTTGGGTGGTTGGGTAGTTGGATGGTTGGATGGTTGGGATGGCTCCTTCTTCCTCTCTTGGACTCTCAGAATTGAAGGTCATTCTGGTGGAGGTGATAAACGACGTGCTTGAAATACCGCAATAGAAATGAAGTATCCTATCGCCCCTGGGTGTGGGTTCAGGGTGGGTTCATTGTGGGTTAAGGGTGGGTTAATGGGTGGGTTCAGGTGGGGTCTGGCTAGGGGTTAAGGTGGGTTAAGGGTGGGTCTAGGGTGGGTCTAGGTGGGTTAAGGGTGGGTTCAGGGTGTGGGTTCAGGTGGGTCTTTAGGGTGGGTTATAAGTCTTCACCAACACCCCCAAACGCTACCCCTTCTTTCCACCTCGCCACCACTTGTTCTAAAAACCTGTACTGTTAAAAAACGATAAATAAAACGGGAGGAAACAGGTATTGTGTGTGTGTGTGTGGGGGGCACCAGGAGGGGAAGGGGGTTTACGCCAAGGGGAGGGGGGAAGGTGGGGGTGGGGTGGGCGGGGTTGGGGGTATAAGTTACTCCTGATTCGTCCAATTTCTACGTTGACTTGTCTGGCTCAGTTGGTGGCGTTCAATCACGTTACCTTATACAACTGTAGGGACAATGGCTGGACTACCTGGCCCCGAATTATATCTTCCTGCTCCTCCTTTTCTTCCTGTTTCTCCTTCTCTTCCCTCTCATTCTCCTTTCCTTCCTTCAGAATCTTGTCTCAATCCTCTTTATTCTTCTATTTCCTCTCATATCCTTCCCTTTTCCGTCTTTCTCCTTTTCCCTTTCATGCTTCTCTACTCTCTTTCTTCACATCGTTTTTCCTCTTCGCCTTTCTCCTTGTCCCCATCTTCTTCTCCCCTCCCCTTCTCTCTCAACTACTTTCTCCCTTCCCTCTACCTCTCTTCCTCACCTTCCCTCCCTCCCCTTTCGTCACCTTCAAGATACCAGGGCTGACCCACTGGGCAAGCGAAGGGGTGAAGGCCTCAGTATCTTGATTACTAAATTGGTAGAAGCGGCATTATCTTGTGTGTGTGTGTGTGGGAGGGAGGTGGAGAAGGAGGGGTGGGTGGTTGTGGTTGATGGAAGAGAGGAGTGGATAGATGGATGTAGGGTGTGGATAGAATAATTCACAACTATTACCACCACAACAACTGTGAATAATTAATGCAAGAACGATGACCGCAGGGGGCAGTGTTATCAAGGTCTAATATTAATGTGGCGACTGCGAGAAGCGACACTACTTAAATGGACCAGGCGTGTCCAGTGTCAGGCTAGAGGAGAAGGTGACGTTGGCAACACTGATGTAAATGCCTTTGATGTGGATTTTACACACACACACACACACACACACACACACACACACACACACACACACACACACACATGACCGCCAGACCTTACTGTACAAGATCTGTAGGCAAGATATATAAAGATGGACGCTATTGAGTACGTACACCTGTCGATCCACCTGTATGGCCATTAACACCTG